AAGTCATTCATAATAAATATTATTCATTCATTTTAGAACACGTATATTAAACTATAAAAAGTATAGTTTGATAAATTCATAACACTAATACATTTCCATAAAAGAGTTCATACATATTACATACATTTTAGATAAACTATAATAGGTATAGTTTATGATACATCACTCAACGCACTCGTACAAAAAGGGTACATTCATACAAGAAAGATTTATATTCACACACATTTCACGTAAATTTGTTAACCTATAGTTTGATAAATTCATAACACTAATACATTTCCGTAAAAGAGTTCATACATATTACATACATTTTAGATAAACTATAATAGGTATAGTTTATGATACATCACTCAACGCACTCGTACAAAAAGGGTACATTCATACAGGAAAGATTTATATTCACACACATTTCACGTAAACTTGTTAACCTATATTGTGAGATTCTCTCTCTCTCTCTCCCCGTACGTCCGAGTGCGGGATATAATTCCTGGTAGTTATATTCAGAATCTCCTTGAGGGAGAACGTGATACTTGTATATAGATCTATATTGGGTTTGACACCCCACACCTTGCTGCTAGCTACAGTGGGACCTGCAGGTCTACGAGTGACAAATGTCATTTTATTTTTCGCGACGCCTGAGAACGTCGTGGCAGGTTCACATAGTCATAGTATGATTATAGCGACTCACATAGGGATATAACAATCCATAAGTTTACGGGATTTTATTTTTAAAACCTAAATGAGTTTTATGTCGATTTAAAATCACTTTTTATCTCTACGAGTACAAATATTACTGTACACTTTTGGTTTTGGTAGTTACGACTACACATCATTTGAAACCACATTTATACTTTTAAGTATGGTCAATACTTGTTATTTCTCGGTCCTATAATTTAGGACTACATATATAAAGTATTAACGAACATGAGAACATACGATAATTTCATTTAATTCAAACGCGTCCATGTCCATTTAAGCACATAACATTTTCTATTAATAAGAAAGGTTAATTATACATTTTGGTCTTCAGTCATAAGACTACAGTACACAAATTTTAAAGAAAATATCGGATTTTCTGGATACATATTCTAACGCTTTTACAAGGAAAACGATTTACTTTTCTAACGAAATCTCTTATGAACTCACCAACCTTTGTGTTGACACCTTTCAAAACTACTTGTATTCTTAGGAATTCAGTGAAAACAGGAAATCAACAACGTTTTGAGGATGGGACGATAAATCGTCAAACAGTTCATTTTGTATTATAATGTAATTGATGTGAATCATGTAAACATGTGCTTTGATGTAACGTTTTCAATTATATTTGGTTGGTTGTATTTACTTTGAGCACTATTATACTCATTGTTGTGATACTCTACATGAAGTCCTCCACCCCCGGACGTTTCCGCCATCCTTGGTTTGGGGGTGTGACAGTAAGGTCATCACCTACGCCTCCATACAGTTGAAGACACACGAAGTTAACTACACGACCCACGATATTGAACTCGGAGCAATGGTGTTTGCTCTGAAGATCTGGAGACATTACTTGTATGGGATGAAAAGCACTATCTTTACCGACCACAAGAGTTTACATCACATATTCGATCAGAAGGAGCTCAACATGAGACAACGATGGTGGGTCGAGCTACTCAGTGACTACGAATGCGAGATTCGTTATCATCCGGGTAAAGCCAACGTAGTAGCAGATGCCCTAAGTCGGAAGGAATATTCTGGTCGCAGGGTCAAGTCATTGTCAATAACCATTCATTCACACTTGTCTAAACAAATTCAGGCGGCCCAGGTTGAAGCCATGAAACCTGAAAATGTGACGAGTGAATCCCTTAGAGGAATGGACAAGAAATTAGAAGCCAAGAGTGACGGAGACTTATATTTCATGAACCGGATCTGGACACCGAAACACGGTGGTTTCCGAGACTTGGTCATGACCGAGGCGCACAACACTCGGTATTCCGTCCACCCAGGTTCAGATAAGATGTATCTGGATCTTAAAAAGCTATACTGGTGGCCTAATATGACAGCAGAAATTGCTACCTTCGTAAGTAAATGCCTTACTTGTGCAAAGGTTAAGGTCGAGTACCAGAAGCCTTCCGGTTTATTGCAACAACCAGAGATTCCAGAATGGAAGTGGGAGCGGATCACTATGGATTTCATAACCAAGTTGCCCAAGACAACTTCTTCTCTGAATACTTTGATAGGCAGAAAGTGTTCAGACTTGGTCAATCTATCAACGATGACCCATATGGATTTCATAACCAAGTGTGCAGACTTGGTCAACCTGATTGACCTATTATTTCCCCCGGGGCGGATGGGATTGATTCTAAACCCGCTTCGACGTCTTCCCACATATCTGCCTTATCGAGCCGGTGCCATTCAGGCAATGAAATAGGTTTTTGTATGAGGAATAAGAGGCATATGCAAGAGCAGGTTGCACGAAAGGAACTGACATCTCATCGAAATAGGAAGCGAATCCGCTCTTCTATGTGCTAGATGTCGGCATTTCCCCTCTTAGCATACAGCATTCACTTCACTGACGCCTACTGACCGGATCGGGCACGAAGGAGGAAGGAACAATGGGAGAGAGGGGAAGCATTTGAAATGAGTTCATTCTCATATAGCAGGAAAGTCTTACCATTTCGAAAAGAGCTCAGTAAATGGTCGAGCTAGCTCCTTCTGCATGGCCTAAAAGCTAATAAAGTGAAAGGGTCGTGAAGCAGCTTACTTTCCTTTCATTCCAATATGGCATACTACTGAATCAGAATCAGGATCTTCCAAGGATTGGCCACTCATCTGGAGTATGTCACCAGGTCAGGCCTAGCTGATGAAAGATCTCGTTTTATGACCATCTTTCTTAAGCAAAAAGAGTAGCTTAGCTCTCATAGTAATGAATAGCTCGAGGCTTTATTTCTTCTATTATAGAATAGAAATCTATAAATGGAGGAGTAGGCTGACAAGCGGTCGTATTTCAGCAGCTTTGCTCAATGCATTATCCAGATCTCGAATCATTGGAATTAGCTTGCTTTCCCTTCTATTATATAAGAAGTCTTCCCCGGTCGGGAATCAATCATACTACGATCGTCAAATCCTACGCTGTCAATAGAACTGTCGGCATATAACCTAGAATCAATAGGAGCTAATAAGATCTTCCCCAGGGTAATTTCACTAAGACTGCCCTACTCCCTTGACTAATATGGTTCAGGTGGAATAGTCGGACATAGAATACAGGGAATGCGCATACAGTGAATAAGACCCCTCCTTTAAGTAGGAATTAGACCAAGGCTAGACTGGATGCTGCTACTACATGTACAACAGCTAAGATTGATTCTCTTACCTGCATCCTTACACCTAGAAAGGTACTTTGTTACTAGCCTGAAAGTCTCAACATCTCCCTAAAAAAGGATTAATAAGGAATGCTAAAAAGAAAGAATCTAAGGCTGAAACTGAAACAACACTATAGCTCCTTAGATTTTGCTCGTTACGCTCCTTAGTAAGTGAATTGGTAGAACTTCAATACACTTGACCTTACTGGCTTTCCTAGTCCGACATCGACTACATCGAAAGAGATAGAAGACTTAGCCGATTAGACCAGATAGAGAATAGGAATTGACAGAAGATAGACACAGGCTATAGAGAAGGAATGCTAAAAAAAGAGATAGGAAAAGCTATGTGTACCAAACAGGGAAATCTATACGGTGATACCTCAAGCCCATGATATAACATTTTCTTGTAAGAAAGCAGTTGATAACGAATTGGTAACCCCTGGTCGGAGTGGGTAGGAGCCGAATAGATGGGAATGAAGTTCCTTTACAGCTCCGGAAAGGAGGCTTGTGCCACTAAGGGGTTGCCGCTTATTCAAGTGACGGGGCAAATGCCCTATTAATTGAATCTAAGTCAAGCTTATCCTCTAATGCTTGGGAAGCTATTCCATCTGTAGTATCGCTAGAGGAAAGCTAATAAGTACAGTTGCAGTCCGCTTTAAGCGGTTGGTTAGCTATTATACAATTTGAAAAAGCTTATTAAAGAAGTAACCTTAATAGTTTTACTATACAGGGAGCTGAGACTTTTAGATGGTGCATAAGCACTGGGGAATGCTTAATGGCATTCAAACTTGCAGGAAAAACACCAGCTCTTATCAATATTCCTTCCTAGGGAAACAGCCCAAGAGCATACTTTTCAACTGGCTTGTTATAACCTGCTTTCCTAAGAGGTACTTCGCTAGCTCGCTTTCAAATTGGTAAGATCATATTATAAACTATTAAAGGCAAAGACTCCAAGGAAATAGATCCTCATTCATGGGCTAGCATTTCTTTACAGTGGGGAACACTATCTATGGATAGAGCTTAGTTAATTAGAGAATTCAAAAGTAGCTCGCCTTTAGTCAGCTAGTACAAGAAAGTGGAGACTCAATGAACTGCATAAAAGTCCTGATATCTCGTTGTAATCCCAAGCATGCAATCCCTAAACTCCATGAGTTGCCCACTTCTCAGAAGAACAGTTGATCGTACTACTCATTCATGTTGGCAGTCACTCTCATGGATTTCTCATAGAAGATCCTTATTCTTGATAGCACTGGTAAGGGACGATTCTCAGTGCCAACCTATCCCCAATCACACTGAATGCTTACTTACCAATCCTTTCTCAGAGAATTCCTCGTGCATCAAAAAACTTCTAGTAAAGTTCAGGAGACCCACTTCGCATGGAGAAGTTCAAAGCTTCCATGAGTAGTCGGATGGACATGCTTGCCAATCTTGAGTTGTCATCGGGTAGGGCATGATTACAGCGAGTGTTCGCATGACTTGGGACAAACCTCTAGAGTCTTCTCCTCCTTGCCGCTGCTGGTTAGGGGCAATCGACCGATCCACATTTGTTGATACGTATATGGATAGATAGATAGCGACTCTTCCTCTCTCCTGCTAGTAAATAAACTATGGAAATGCACCGGCATGTTTTTTCCCTATCTTAAATTGTTGTCAACCTCCCTACTAACCATAATCTGTAGGATAGTAATCTGTAGGATTGTACACGACAACCTTACCCTCATAGTCCAGAGCAACCATCCTATTGCGACAATAGAGAGGCTCTAGCCCTGGTTCTGTATACTCGATTGAACAAGACAGCCCGAGATCTTGTATCATATCAAATACTTGATATTCATCGATTCTTAGATCATCAGTACATGCTATAAAGACCATACCTATGAATCTTTCAAATGCAATCCCTGGATATTTATGGCTGAACTGCCGGTCGAACTCCATTAAGGTAAGATTGAATAAGACCCTAGTGATTTCTCCAACAATTGGCATACAACCGAAGCATATCTTTCTACCATCCTCATCAAAGGTCTCGAGATTTAGAAAGCTACTAACCAGCTTATAACAAACCGAATCTGCCCCAACAAAGGACTTAACACCATCTAAAACCAGACTCTCAGGAATCAGTTGTAATGATGGATCCATGTTAATCTGGTACAGTCTAGTCACCTTACCCATGTTTTGAATACCAGAATAAAAGAGACCTAACCTATCTAATAATCTGTAATTCTCCTTGGGCACATAACCATAAGTCAAACGATAGAAATGGATACTCAATGCCATGAACACCAAGACATCCTCTTTTTTTGATGGAAAAACAACTATATAGTGTGAACTATCTCTGCTTGGATAAAACGTTAAGTCAGGAAAATCAGGTAGCGTTGCAAATAAAAATTCTAGTAGATCATCCCTACTTATTCTCCTGAGCCTTAGCGGAGATAGAGTGTAAAAACCTGAAAGCAATATCTGTTGAAGATTACATAACTCTTTCTTAGATAGATTATATTTCTGAGTGCTTTTTAAATCATTATACAGAAAATCAATATCCTCTGATAGCTGAACTAGCGAACTAGAAATTGTAGAATAATAAGAAGATCTTGCACATATCATAGTCAACTTATAAGAAGATTTGGATTGAATTGTTTCTTGTTTGTTTTTCATCTTTTTACTATTATTTCTTGTAATTCTTGAACTTTCAAAGTACTTATTAATTCTAAATCAGGAGGAGATGAATATGACATCATACCCATTCCGAGAAAGGCTGCTACTATGATCCCTAAACCAAGGGCCACCCTAGCATTGCTACCTTCAGCAGTGTTACCACTAGGAAGATGGATTTCATTGAACGGATAGACATTATCAAAGGCGGATAACACTTGATCTGATATATACTTATACTCCACATAACTCATTTTCATAAAGGGGGCTATATCAAATGAAACATCCTTGAAAGAATCATACGGAAGCTCTCTCGGTACTAAGATTCCTGGAGGTGCTACTTCTGGTACTCCAGGTATAAAGTTGTACCAGACAGTACAACCAATCCCTAAGCTAACAAATATGATTAAGCGCCCATACATACCTTTATAATATGTTATAAATTCTATTACTTTTTTATACGGGTCCTGGTGAGAACATCTAAGCAATGGTGCAACCCACCCTTGAACCTGGTATTTTCAAACAAATCTGGGGTTGAAAAACGTAACATTTTTGATAACCCGAGAGATTGAAAGACATACATTAACATTTTCTTCGCTGAATTGCTCATTAGAAATTCATATCTTTGGAAACGAGTATGCTCTGGAAAAAAAACGGAAATATAACGCCAGAATAGCATCTTTAGCTGATTGAACTTTAAGTTGTTCAACAATCAGACTTTCTTTTAAATCAGTAAGAGGGAAACTATTCACAGGTAGACTTAAAATAGGAAAACTATTAAGCAATTCATCCTTATTTACATGAGAATTCGGATTATTTGTGGGGGGAGTATAAGTCAAAGGCTGGATTGGCTTAGGAATTGACCTTCGCAAATTCAGACCTCTACGCTTAGAGAACGTATCCTTTTTTCCGAAACGATAGCTTTCCGGCAGCATTCCACCATTACCTGTGTAATATATATCATTTCTAGTGTGATTAACTCTCAATCTGTCAAATAACAATTTCATTTTTCTTTTATCATCTATTGATAGAGTAATACTCGGGATTTTTCTCTCTGCTTATGCCCTTACTT